CGGTGATGGGCCATAATAATCATATACAGTGTATATTGACAAAATAAAAAATAAAATAAAAAAAAAATATTGCCTATCTCTTATATGGTTGTTGTATTTGTTATTACCTTAGGTTTGTCCTTTAGTCTTCATACTAAGGATATAAATGGTTTATTCACCACCACATTGTAATACTCTGAGTTTGTCTGTGTACTTACTTTATCGTTTTATTTTATTTTATTTTGTTGGTGGCTGGCCAGTACAAGGATGTGAGCCCAAAATCTTGGTGTTACAAGGCTGCACTCTAACCAAGATAACTGGCCAGCCCTGTGTACTTACTTTACTAGTGAATTTCATAACCTCAAATATTTTCTTGTTACACTTTAGCATCGTTGTCTTTTAAACTAATGAACTCTATTAAGCATTTCCTGTAAAGCAGATCTAGTGTTTCTGAATTCCCTTAGCTTTTGTCTGTCTAAGAAAGACTTTATTTCTTCTTGATATTTTAAGGTTAGCTTTGCTGGTTACAGAATTTTCGGTTGACAGTCTTTTTTCCTTCAGTACTTTGTATATATCATCCCACTTTCTCCTGGCCTGAAGGGTTTCTACTGAGAAATCTGCTGAAAACCATATTGGGCCTACATCGAATGTTACGTGTTTCTTTTCTCTTGCTACTTTCAGTGTTCTTTCTTTGTCTTTGTTTTTGATAATTTGATTATCATGCACCTTGGTTTATTCATTTTTGGATTGAATTTGATTGGTGATGCCTGAGCTTCCTATACCTGGATTCTGTCATTTTTCTTCATACTTTGGAAAGTTTCAGCCATTATTTCTTTGAATACGTTTTCTAAGTCTCTTCCTTTTTCCTTTCTTTTGGGTATACCAATTATGCAGAGATTATTTTGTTAAAGATGTCTCATGAAAACTGCAATTCTGTATCCTTTTTTCTTATTGTTTTTTCTTTTTGCTCCTCTGATTGGATAATTTCATATGTTCTATCTTCAACCTCCCTGATTCTTTCTTCTGTTTGATCAAGTCTGCTATTGGAGCTTTCTATTGAGTTTTTCAATCTATATAACGTATTCTTTATCTCCAGAATTTCTATCTGGTTTTCTTAATGAATTCTTTTCCTTTGCCAATTTTCTCATTCTGCTCCTGGATTGTTTTCTAGGTATCATTTAAGTTTTTGTCTGTATTTTCTTGTGATTCCTTGAACATCTTTAAGAGTATTATTCTGAATTCTATGTCAAATATTTCATATATTTGCTATTCTTCTGAGTCCATTGCTGGTGCTTTGTTGGTTTCTTTATGTGGTATCATATTTCTCTGTTCTTTCTCAATATTTCTGTCTTTGCATTGATACCTGTTCATTTGAGGAGATGGCTACTTCTTCCAGGTTTTACAGTGTTCTTTGGTGGTGTTAGACCTTTACTGTTCAATATCAGAAGTTTGTCTCTGGCCTGTGGCTTTTTTTTTTTTTCCATTCTGTGGTAGATTAATATCAACTACCACCACTTAAACACTGCAGTGGAATTAATTTGCTGTCCTGCCATTAATTCCCAGATTGGGGGAAACTTACTGCAGGGACTGGAACTTGAACACTGTGCTTTAGCTAAATTGCTGCTTTTCCATTATTTCTCAGTCTGGGAAAAACTTTTTATGTGGACCATATTTTATTTATTGGTCTTTTAATCACTTCCAGGTCATGTGGAGGACTCCACAAAGCAACTGGGCTGTTTGGAAAATCCAGCATGGGACTGAGCCTTTCCTGCAAATTGTGCCCCTATATTTCTATCATATTGACCAGTTTCTGCTATGTGGCACCCACGCTGATCAGGAAGTAGATCAGCTGCCAAGCTGCACCCTCCTAAACGCGTGGTGGATCAGCTCCCCCCTTCCTAGCACTCCAAACATTTGCCATGAGGCAGGCCCCACACGAATTTCCCATGAAGACTCACAGACCTCTGGGCAAATCAGACACTGACCTTCTACACTCTCCTCTCACCTCTGAGATAGAAGGTCCAGTGGCCCGCTCAGTGTATGATGCAATGCTGGTCCTGAAGGTGGGGAATGGAATTCCCCAAAATGATTCCTTCCTCTCCTTAGCTGCAACCCCTCCCTCCTATGTGGGTACAGGGGAACCTTGTGAGTATGTACACTGGCCTGGGAAATGAAATGGGGCACTCCAAAGTTATATATATATATATATATATATATATATATTTTTTTTTTTTTTTTTTTGTCAGCAGTCAGAGCACCCTTCTCTCCTCCAGGCTCCAAGTAGCCTCATGCAAAAAGTGCTGCAGCAGCTTTGCCATCTCAAGGTAGCTGCTCCATGCACTGTGCCATGCCAGCCTGGGGAGTGACTAGGTCTGGAACTGATTGGAGTGATCCTTCCTCCTGCTCACCATGGCTTTCCAAACCTTTGTGGACTTAGAGAGCCTGTCCTCCTTTTCTCCCAAGTTCCAGTGGTTTCAAGAAAGCAGTTTTGTGTTCTAATTTTGTAAGTTAATCTCTTGAGGCAGGGGAGGGGGTGGGGAGTGAGGCCAGGAATCATCTAGTCTGAAATCTTTGTGATGTCATTCTCCTTTACTATGTATTTCTAATTTCATTATTACCATATCTTCAAAATACCTAACGATGGGCATTCAGATCCTAATTTAAACCTTCTAATTTTTATGTTAATAAAATTGTCTTATGATATTCATTTTTCTTTGAGAATACTATCATAAATGTCTTTTTTATTGAAAAATGTCTGAATTTTCAAAGCAGTTAAGAAGAAGTAGATCAAAAGGACCCAGCACATGATAGGACCCATACAACCTCACTGTGCAAAACAGCATATTGCATGAATTCTGAAATAAGAGTTCAGCCTAAGATGACTGAGTATTACAAGTCTGGGTCATTTTGTAACTTACAGAGAGACCAGAGACTGAAATATATCACCCTCTCCAAAATAATAACTTTTGAAGAGCCCAGAGAGCCAAAACCGAAATAGTAAAATAGACAGGAAACAAAAGTCAAGGTGGAGTCCTTTCATTCAGAGGAGCTAACAAATCATAACCCATTTTGAGATTTCATGCCAGATTTCATGAAAATTATCCCTGAAATCAGGAAAAGAAGTTGAAAGTTCAATATGCCTGAAACACTAGATTGTGGTTACAATTTACTACCATTACTTACACTGATTGGGTCCAGAATTTTCACTGCGGCCAGGCTCCCATCTTTCTTGTTAGTTACCTTGTAGACCTTGCCATAGGTGCCTTTACCAATGGTCTCTATAATTTCCCAGGTGTCTGTGGGATCTGGAAGTGATTCAAATCCAAGCATCGTTGAGTTGTAGTGAAATAGTCCATACAGATGTTTCCTGGTGGGGAGAAAATTTTATTATGTGCAACAGATCACAGGATTGGGGGTAGTGGACTTTTAAGACAAAAATATTTTTATTCCTTAGTGAGTAAACTTGCATTAATTCTCTTTTTATTTTCCTCCTCTATTTTAACAAGAACTTTTTTTAAAGAAAGAATTTGAGGCCTCCTTCAGAAATGGGAATAGAAGATAGAGTGAAGGAGTAACATGACTCTGAGACATCCTAAAAACACGATTCTAAAAATGGAGATTATATACATACTGCAGGAGGGAATAAAAGGGCCAAAGAGAATGTTCTGATTGTGGTTGGACAGTTGTCTTGCTAGGCCTCTGAGTGGTGGCTGCTGTGGCTGAGTATTTCCTGTGATGAGGAAAGTAGCTGAAAACCATAGGTCTAAAATCTTTGTCTCCAAGTTATGGTAACCTTGATCAGGGCTCTTTGATGGCTACTGGAAACTGACCCCAACTTCTGTGTGCAATCTGGACAGCTAAGAAGGAGAATTAGGTACATGTACCAGGCATCAGTCAGTGCACAGAACCCACTGCTGCATAAGTGATGGGGGCTACAAAGATAAGCCAAGCTCAGACCCCAACCACACAGCAATAGCATAGTGTGAGAATCACACTGAGGGGCTAACCAGGAGATGTAAACTCACTCTGCTTTAGTTAGCAGTACTCTATTTAAAAAGGGCACAACTCTGTGGAGTTCAAGTACTAACAGCAAGCTTGGAAGCAAAATCACCCAAACTGATCCCATGAAAATCCACTTCAAGTTCAGTTGCTCTCAGGCTGGATGAGGGGTCCCAACTCTGGTCTGCTTCTAAAACCCAGGGGAGGGACCATCAGGCTCCAACTGTAAGAGCCACGGGATCCAATCCCCACATCATGGCTTAGTGTGCACCCAGGGCGAGCATTTTTGCCTCATATTGGGCATTCCAATTTGCACTTCTAATTGTTTTCTAGACTGCATTCTCCCAAAGCAAAGCCTTTTAGCTTGATGCAAGAGTTTATTTTTTTCCTTACCTTGTCTGATGGAAGGGGAGCATTTCAAAAATATTAAAAACCAGTAGAAAAAAAAAAAAGGCTCACTACTCTCCAAAGGGCTCTGCAACCAGTACCTTGAAGGCCCAGGCAAAGCCCACTCTGAGCTGAGGCACTGACCCCCAAATGTTAGCTAGTCAATCAGCTCCTGCCTTTCATGTGCTGGTTTCAAGATTCTTGGGAACTGCAGCCTTTCCTCCTATCCAGTGTTTCACAAAATCAGTCTTTCCCATCACATGCTTCACAATTTTTGCCACATGGGTACATCGTCTGTGCTGTTAGTTACTACTTTTAAATTACTTGCTTTTCACTTAAATAGATACCTTTTAAAGGTACTTTCTAACACTACCCTAAATACAAACCAATTATCATTTGCCATATATCAAAATTAAGTGCAAAAAGATGATTACAGTGAAAACAACAAAGAGTTATTCAAGTCCAGCCAGATACTATTGCCCCTGGGCTCCAGCCCACAGCTTCTTTCTTTTTTAAAAAGGGTGTTCATCGGTGATAGGAAGGAAGTAAACACTGGCACAAACTTTTCCCTTGATGTGATCAGAAGACCCAAAAGAGGATTCATTAGCAAGGGAATAACTTTGTTGTGATGTGATTTCACATTCTTTATTGGGAAATCCCTAAAACCTCTTGACGCCTAAGAATACCACTCTGGGCTGGGCTTCTACAAGAACAAAAAGTAGGACAATCTCAGGGTGATGGCCAAGACCTGATAGGCTGGGGAGGGTGCTGAGAAGAGATTCCATGAGCCTAGATGTCACTACCTTACACTTACCAGTGCAGTCCCTGTTCCCCATCAGCAGGGACACCTGCATCTGGGCTCACCGCCTGCACAGCCCGGGTCCTGCCCTGACCAGTCATGAGTCTTGGGTTACTCATCTCTCTGTGCCTCAGTTTCTTTGCCTGCATCATGAGGTGGCTGCTGCTGCTGCTGCTAGTGACACTGCCTACTTCACAGAGCTTCTACTAGGACTAGGAGATGACAACAGATAGAGTAAGCATGGTGGGACCTCAGGGAGTGTCATCTGTCTCCACAACAGCACAGCACCAAGAGCTGCCTCAGAACAGGCAAGACTGAACAAACAAAAGGTTTCCCTGCTTTGTTTTATTTCACGTTTAACCATAAACTAAACGAGAACTAAATGAGTTTTGCTCCAGTCATTAGTTTCAGACAAATGGCTGGAAATGTGTGAAAATGAAATTAAATCATAGAATGTGGCAGCAGGAGAGCACCTTGGAGGCCATCGAGTCAAGCAGTTCTCTAATGATTTTTGGCTACAAAACTCTTCTGTTAAGTGCATCTCACTCAGGATGCTGACGTATAAGCTGAGAGAAGTGGCGCAACTCTGGCTGAGGTGGGCTGAGGAACCAAGCACCTGCCCCATGCCCTCCGTGGCAGCCTGATAGGGTGACCGACTGTCATGGTTTGCCTGGGACTGGGACTGCCTCCATTTTAGCAAAGTCCTGCATTCTGAGAAACCTCTCAGAACAGAGAAAACCAGGACAATTTGTCACCCTATGCTCTGGAGCCTTCCAAGGATGTGCACCTCCTCAGAGCATTATTAGAAAATGACTGATTTAGCACCCCCCACCCACCTCATCCCATTATGGGATGAAGTGTGCCTTCCCCATGGTTTGTTCTTTCTGACCCACTGCACCAAATATTGAAAAGTTCTGTAGGGAAAATACCCCACCACACAGGCAGGCTAAGTGCCACACAGACTAATGAAAAGCATCTCTGCTCCCCCTAAAACAAGAATTACTCATCAGAACTATAGAGGGACTTATATACAGCTGGCACCAGTGATGGGTGAGCAGAAGGCAGACCACTCAGATTCTGTCACCACGTCCATCATGAACTCTCTGGGCACCCACAGGCAAGACTACATAAACGTGTGTCAGAATAGGTGCACGCCTAACAGAATTGCCTGTCTTCTCTCTTTAAAATAGATACCTGACTCTGTAAGCCCTCTGATGACTGATTAAGTAGTCAGCCCTGTAAAGGTGGGGATAATCCAGTCCAGGGAGGCAGCTGAAGCAGCCGCTCTGACAGCAAAACGCCACGCCTGGCCAGCATGCTGACCTTGAGGACAGACTGCACTTCTGCTTATGCTGTGTTTGGGGCATGGCAGAGCTGAGGCCTCATGGAAATGGCCAGGGTTGACCAAAGAAAGGGCCAGGAGCAGTTCGGAGTGGCAGGGACAATACCTGGGCCCTCAGGACTCTGCAAAACCCTCAGAAGTCCCTGAAGAGGTACCCGGGCTTCTTATTGTCCCAGATATGGGGGCTCCATGCATTTATTTGAATGTGAAATGACTGACCTCAAGAGGCTAGAAAACTCAGGTTACATAAGACACATTCATTGAAACACAAATAGAACGATGAGGTGTATCTAGGAAGAGGTGAGTGATGGCACTTGTCAGTATAGGGGAGACTCATGTAGTTTGCAAACCATTCAGAAGTCCTATTGGCCCAGATGTTGTCCGCGTGTGCAGCTGCTCTGAAAAGAAGACTTGAGCACTATTTGTTTGTGCATACGGTCATATCACATAAGTCAGAGCCACAAGTGGATTTCTCATCAAAGTCACTACTCTTTCAAAACAAGATTCTAATGTCCACATATTCCTATGCCATACATTTTCACTACCAGGAACAGCCAAGTGATCAGCAAGGCAAAGAGAACATCACCTAGGAAAGATATTCCTGTTTAGTAAATAAGGATAACGCAGGTATTGAAGGAATATTTTCCTATCTTTGCCCACACATCACTGTTAGCTAAACATCTAGGAAATACCCAAATTTCTCATTATTTAAGCCACTAGATAGATAGATAGATAGATAGATAGATAGATAGATAGATAGATAGATAGGTAGATAGATAGATATTTAGTAAAAGACTTCATCCTTGTGGTAAAACAGTACCTTGGAAATAAAGAACAATTGTCTTTTTCTTGTCTTTCTTTCCTTCCTACCTTCTTTCCTTCATTTTTAGAAGGCAAACCCCTAAAGGGTAGAGGCTGTATCTCTTCATGGCAGTTGAGAAGGCAGGCTCTTAAAAATATTCTTTCTGTTGACAAGAAGCAGTGCACTGAACATGACCTTTGTGATTAACAGCGAGGGGGATGGTCTCAGCCCCAGATCTGTGTGACCACATAAGTGGTGACTTGCCCACATTTAAACATCACATTGCAGTGAGTAGTTTCACATTATGGCTGTAAACTAATAGCACAGCCACGGCCTTAGCTTATCAGGATTGAATGTCTAAAGACTTCCAATAGAAGTTTTGGTTCCAATTATCAGCAGAGGACATACTTTTAAAAAATAATGCATGAAATATTCTATGGTTAGGTTTTGTCAACCATTATACCACAGAGATTTTGATCCCATAGATTTTCTACCATCACAAAAGGAAAGTCAGGCATTATGCTTCCTGATGGAAGAACACCCTGCTACCTAAGAAACGGTGTTGCCAAAAATATTAAACCCAAATCTGACCAAGCTTCTAGATTACCAATTTACAGAAATAACAAAAGACAGGACAACATGTTAAACAGCACTGTGGAGGTACAATAAGCAAAACTCAGACTGTAAGAAACTCTCTAAGACAAACAACCCGATTTCTTCAACAAACAGATTGAAAACAAAAATAAATAAATTGAAAGGGATAACCTCTGGATTAAATGAAGCTTAAAATACATGTCAAATGAGAAATAAAGTGTGGATTCACACAATCTAAAAATATTATAACATTTATGAGATCATTAGAACCCTGACTAGTTATTTGATAATATCAAAGAAGCATTGTTAATTATGTTTTAGTTGTGATATTTGTGGTTATGTTTTTAAAAGCATCCTCATCTTTTAGCAATACACATTGAAATACTTACAGGTGAAATAATATGACATCTGGAATAACACAGGAGTGGAGAAAATAGGAAAGGGG